TCTCCTCCTCTTTCTCTCTCTCTTATCCTTCTCCCTCTCGACGACCAAGTGGACCCACTTAAAAACAATAACACGCATTGAGGATTATCACTTTAGTTGTCCTGAGAGGATTACGTTCTAGTGCTTTATTTTAAAGTCATTTCTAAAGAACCAAATAGGAGCTGAAAAAGAATGATATTTTTAGTCCAAAATAATCTTCTTTACGTCCCTTTTATGTCCCCTCACTTCTTGGGTGTGTTCCTGAGCGTCCCGCCTCCCCCCCCTCCCTCCTCCATCCCTATGTAGTGCACTTTGTGAAAAGCTATTGGTACATGAAACGCCTTAAGTAAGGAACACACCTCGACTTTATCCCACAGCTCCCCTATTTCTGCAAAAAAAAAAAAAAAGGCACAACTAATACTGTGGATTTGTAAAGGATACAAAAATAAATTGTACACACTTAAATATATTATGAAAACTAAAGTAAATGAATTCTATGTGATACTATATTAATGAAATTTAATATAGATGTATGCATTACTTTCTTTTTCTTCTATAGAGTATACACACATATCTATATCTATATTTGATAATCTCAAATATTAAAGCAGCCCTTTATTTAGGAGTGAGATCTAGTTTTATTTTTCTTCTCTTCCGATGAAAGACTGTAGTGTGTAGCGTGCTTTAGAGCCCTGGACGAGGAGACCACACGGAGCAGTGATCAGCACCAGTCATCCGTCAAATCTCCTCTCGCTCCACCCTTTATATACAGTACGTACCGCATTGGAGAGAAGCGTCTGTGCAGTGGTTCTAAAAAAGCTCCGGCGTAGCTCGCACAACTTGCACAGTCAGACGATCAGTTCTTCTTCTGGTGCTTGTCATTGCTCTTAGAGACACAGATCACTTTTACACCCCCCCCCACACACACACACACACACAGTTTTTGGTTTGATCTTGAGTCACGTGCGGTGGTCTCCACACTCTAGTAGCACAAGAGCTATTGAGAGATGTGTTCAAAGACGCTCCCTCATACTATACACTGGACTGGTGAGCCATTGTAATAATGGCCTCCTTAGTTACAAACATTTTCTCTCTAACTGCTTTGTTTGTCAGTGGTAATGAAGTATGCTGCATCCAAACTGTGACTCTATTAATCTTAGTGGCATCATCGCTCTACTCTTTTTCTCAACTCGCCTCCACCCTCCTTCATCCCTCGTTCTTCTGAATGTGAAGTTGCTCACTGACAGTCGGTCTCAACATGGGGGTTTTGGTCCTTCTAATCTCTCCCGGCATCACTCTCATTGCGCAACACCACCTCGGCATCTGTGTTTTGTATATTTTTGTATTCATTTTTATTTTTTTTTCTTACCTGTAACAGTCTGTATACATCCAGGTGTGAGGCTCTGCATGCTTCATCCTCGCCCTAGAGCCGATGGTAGCGTCAGTACCACCATTTGTTTTTTCTTTTGTTGCCAATTGGAAGGTGATGATGATGATGATGATGATGATGAAGAATGGCTTGCTGCAGACATATACAGTGAATATGTGATAACGTAGTGCATCAAGAGGCTGGACAGCCTGGGAAAGTGTAAATAAAATGCTCACACTATTTTTACCTAATGTTAACAGAGCTTTTTGTAAATGTATCTTGTGCTCAAACTCTGCTGTATCATTATGGATATTGTAAATACAAAATAGCTCAGTCAGTCATCTGTCTTCATTGGGTAGAACTATACAATTAAATTAACCTGTCAGTGTTCTCCCTGTTAAAGCTATTGTTTTTTGTATTAAGAGTTTAATATCACTAGCCAAAAAAACTGATTAAGTAGGAGTTTGACTCTTGGGAAGTTGTGGAGGATGCCTTGGTGGTTTCAGGCCAAGCTGAGTCCAGTCTCAATGAGATTCACAAGCACAATCCTGTATTTCTCATCAGTCTAGCTCTATGCACTTTTACGTTCAGTGGTTACTGTTTTATAATTAGCTATTTTTTTGTTTGTGTTTTTTAGCACAGCGCCTGTTTCAGGTGTTAAAAAATGTGGCAAGTACAAAACCGCAGAAAGGGATTTTTGGTATATCTCATTCACAAACCGTGAAAAATTTTTCCTGTTCGAAGATAAAGAAATAGCCTCAAACTGGATAATCTTCTGGTTGCAAAAAAAATCTGAGAATCATCATATCTCACCAGGCATTTCAGTCCTAAACCAATATTCTCCAACTGCAAATATTAAAGCGAGACTGTGTTACTTTAGAAGAAATAATGCATTTTATATTTTACAAATAAATAGTTGAATTTATAGGCAATAATACACACTATTGCTCAATTCAATGCACTCTGAAGTTTTACTGTTAACTTAATGCCTTAATGCTTCTCGGTCTGTTTTGACCAGAAGTCTTTGGTGGCTAATGTTAGCAAACATTAGCAAATTTTAGGTACATTTTGCTGTGAAAAGGCACATTACTGATAGAGTTCGCTGATTATGCGAGTCCTATTGTTACAATAGCGTAGCATTTTAGCTAAATGGTAAACTACTGTTTGGGTAAATAGTTCTACTGTTTAGCATTTACACAAGCTAAACAATGGGAAATGTCGATGCTAACCTTATAGCCTTACTTAGTCTGTTATGACGAGTAGCTTTTGGTGGCTAAGATTAGCTAATGTTTGCCAATTTTAGATACATTTTGCTGTATAAGGCTCATTACTGATTCAATTCACTGACTTTATGACTCTTCTGCACTTTTGTTACTGTTACAATAGCTTTTCATTTTAGCTAGAGCCTTAGCTAAATGCTAAACCGTTGCTACATTGTAAAGTACAGTTTAGCATTTAGCTAAAGCAGTAGTTTAGTGTAATATTCGTTTAGCATTTAGCAATGGCAGTTGTTCAGCAAAAGTTGCATCGTCTCGCTTTAAACTGTAGTGTACTACAATAACAGTTACTGATATAAAGCTGTCATGTATGCCGCATCAGTACATATAAAAAAAAAGTAGAAGAAACATGTTTGGTTTCTGATTTGACTTCTTAGCTATCAGTTCATTTATCCCATCCATGTTCCCACCTCAGTTTGAATTTCCGGAGTCAGAAAACCACGATCCCACTCTTCACACAGTTCAGCCAGTCCGACAAAAGATCAATCAAAATATAAAGCTATAAATAAAGTAAAAGATGTTGTATGTTTTCTATTATCTTGTAGAAAATACTTTTGTAAGTATGTTGAAAGTATAAAGTATTTGCTGGATTCTGCTTCCTTTGACGACAGTGACAAAACAATAATGTACAGAGGAATTTGTGTTGACAAAATGTGGCTGTGCAATTTATGTACATTTGCAACTAGACCTATTAAAGTTTTATTTAGCTATTTTAAAATCTCATCCTCTTGTGTCGGTCTCTCGTAGCCTTGCTCGCGTTGTTCTCTGTGACGCTTTGTTATTATGAAATGTAAATGAAGCTTAATTTGACTGCATGCCAGATGAATCACGTGTTCATTAAATACTCAAGCAGGCCTAGATAGATGACAAGCAGCTAGAGAGAACATATGCTCAGACTCCAGGTCCAAAGGCAGAGTGGAGGCTATGATGGAGGGATGTGACAGACTGAGCGGTGCCTACTCCTCAGCGAGCCTGACCTACATACCGCCTGATTGTTATTCCCCACAGTGGGTAGAAGAAAGCCTGAAATGGCCTTAACAACAAAAAATGGAGGGGATTCTGTAACAAAATGTCTCCCAAATAACTGCAGCTGCAAATTGAGCTGATTGTTATACAAAAAATGTCTCGCATATTGTTTCTAAGTAGCTCGAAGGCTGGAGAAATGCAGCATGAAAGTCTTTCATATTACACAGTATGTGATCGAACAGGGAGAGTGGACCTCATTAACAGTAGATTGTCATTATTTGTATTTTAAATGAAAGCTCCTGTGCTGTTAATTGCTCCCTGTGAGGCACACTTATTTCTTTGGCCAAGTGGAACAGGCCCCCCCGAGGGAAAAGCACGCATTTAGGACATCAGACTGATAAAAACAAGCCACTCTGCAGCGCTCCCACCCATGACTCAAAAGTATCAAAGGCTAGCAAACACAGCCACCTATTAAGCCACTTGTTGATGGCAAGATGGAGTACATACTTTAAATCCACTCCAAATGAAGAGGCCAAAGAAATACTTGTCCGTTATCTGTTTTATGCATAATTAAACGTATTATAGAAAGGCTTGCCTGTCTTGAGAAAGTCTATGAGAATTTTTTAAGGGAAGTGTGGATAAAGGATGCATAAGTGCATATTAAGGTAGGTGATTTCATGTAAGCACAGGTTTAACTCATTACATTAAAATAAATTAACAATAAATACTAAAGTACTGACTTTTGTACAATTTTGAACCACTTGTGCCTGACTGACTCTTACTGCTTTACATTTCAGAGGCAAATATTGTACTTTTTACTCCACTACTGCTATTCATCTAACAGGTATAGTTACAAGTTAATGCAACTTAAGATTTTTACATACAAAGCATATGATCATTTTATATTATATGATGTGTAGTTCAATTATAATACTCAACAGTGTGAGGCAAAAATGAGTACATATTGGATCCCTGTCCTTCATTATGTGGCCAGAACCAACCAGTACTCCTCCACTGGAACACTACTGGTGCCAGTGTGTGTCCATTAGTTTAAGGCAGGTTTAATAATCACTATAAATAACTTTATTTATGCACCATGTGAAAAGTAAGAATTAAAATTAATTTGTTATGACTAGATTTTGACACAAGGCGACCAGTTCTTCAATTTATTTTACAAATTATACACGAACATTGTAAACTTTATGCTTTTGGGGCCCCAAGGGGTCTGAGGTCCTGTGGAAGTTGCCCACTTTGCCAGACTGGCAGGCAAGCCTTTCCCCACAAAGTAAAGTTAAAATAGCTCAATCTTGACCAATTACACTAAAATGCTGCTTACATATGAACACATCTGTAATAATAATCCAGTAATTGGATGTATAGAAATATATGATAATATAAATTTCTTTGTAATACTGCGATTTGTATTTGACATTTAAAAACTAGTGCAACATTTCAAGGGAAGCTAAAGGGTAAAAATATATCTATTTGACTGGTGCCAGACATCTCAGCTGTTGAACAACTGGGCAGCAACACAAAAAAAAGACGAAGGATGAAGACTAGAGCTGCAGCATCAACTGCCATAGCCAGCCTCTGCGACAGAAGGTCGAGGCAACATTGGCAGATGGTTGTTGCTGTGAAACATATCGAAGGTCTTAAAACATAGAAAGAAAAAAAAAAGGGCGCTATTTCAGGCTCATTTATCAGCCTCGTTCAAAAAAGAGATGTGAATAGCACAAACTGCCAACAGTGCTGCCATTATGTGACATATCATCCCCTAACGATGTGACAAATGGTGCCCTTAATGAGGCCATGGGGGAAATGACTCCGAGGTAGGACAATAATGGTGCACATACGAGTGCAGTACATTAGCCTTTGCATGATTTGCTCAAACATAGTTTGTTTTTTTAAATGCAGTCTATATCACAGCAGCGGTGGCAAACACACATTTTCAGTTCAAGGAGCAAAAATGAACTTTTAATTCATGTGACTGATCACTGTCAATAACCTCATAAATCTACTTCCTGTTGTTGGATACATACTGCAGTAAATATGTCAGTCCTACAGTATGTATAGCAGAAACATGTTTAGTTCACTGTATGTGTTAAACAGCTGCCCACAGTGCAGGTGTTTAAGTTTGAGTGTTCTTGTGTGAAACACATCACGCTTAATTCTTGTTCTACGTGTGACAAATCAATTTAATAATCTTAGTGTAAAAGAAAAACATACAATTCAACGATGAACATCCAGTAGAGTAACTGTAGTGTGAATAATGTGAAACGACGGCGATGATCTAAGACCTTTCTGCGTCCACCGGCGGCGGTCCTTCTGTGTGTGATCACACATCGGATAAGGTTTTATCACAAAAAGCCATCTGAATAACATTTAAGAAAACCGTCTAAATTGTGACATTTTGTGCCATGCGATTACTTCTGCAATAATTAATTCTCAATGGCAGTCGTGTGGTTATAAAGTAATCATTCTAAAAACATGTTCGCATGAAGGTCTGAGGCTGCCTGACTGGAATAGCTGCTGAAGTGAAAGAGGATAAGTGGCGGCGTGGCCTTTTCCCTTTGAATACTTATTCACTTAACTCGTCACTAATGGGCTCACGGAGTTAGGATGCACAGCTGAGCCACTGGCTGTAAATAGGCTTTCACCACTGGGCTAAACACAAATAAATAAAGTACAGTACATACACGCACGCTCACACACATTCACAATATGCCCACACAAATGCTCAGTCACCCTCACATCCATTTCTGTGCAAAAGTAATGGTTCAAAGAGCTTGTTGTGCAAATTCAAGAATATAATACACACACTGAGGACACTCCCTTACACCCCTTTATTTATGTGTAACGTGTGTAAATGCACTGAATGTAGTTGGAGCGTCTTAATGTTATCCCTGAAAAAGAAAGTTTGTTTCGGTGCACGTGTTGCCAGACAGAGGTGAAGGGAAGCAGATAGCTGCCCTGTACGAATCAGTAAGTATATTAAAAGCAGCCTTATCCTCCCCCTGATTGGACTACATCATCAGGAGGGGAGGAAGAAATGCACCTTCCCTCCCATGGACATCTTCCCCTTCAGAAAAAAAAAAAAAAAGCAATCAGGCTGAAAACAGTCCTCCTGCAAGTCAGCCAGCAGGGGTCCAGCTAGTCCCTCTCTCTGCTCCCATCACCCTCCCTTTGCGGGAGCAGCAGAGGATACCTAATTTCCCCCCTGCTCCTGTGGAGAGGGCTAACGGCAGTGTTTGGGAGTTGGATGACTCTCTCGTCAGTTCTCCACGTTGGCCCTGAGTGTGCGAGGCTTGAGTCTCTGATGCAGTCGGTAGTCCTGGCTGGCCGCCCTTCGCAGGGGAGCCGGGGAGTTGAGCTGAGGGTTGGTGAGGCCCAGCGTCTGAGTCTTGTTAGCACGCGGCAGCGCCCTGCTGCAGCTGACGGAGCGTCTGTCCTCGACGCCCGACTGGGACTCCAGCTGAGCTTCGCACAGCTCCAGCAGTGACGCTACCTGCTCCCTCATCGCCAGGGATTTGAACCTGCGACCTGCCAGGTGGAAAAATGCTTCGACAAACGCTTGTAGTCCCATACCTGAAAAACAACGAGAGCATGAGTTGAGCAGGAGCTGATTTATTACCCACTGTTCTCGCTAATATTTCCTACTGCAGCCTCCTTCATTCTCAACCTAGAAGAGGAAGACACGTGCAGAAAACCAAGGAACCCATGGTGTATGTAAAAAGAATGAGATGCTAATTTACCCTGGACTATCATGGTTGGTAGGTCTCTTGCTGTGGATTAAAATTGTTATAGATCAAGACAGCATTTACATAAATTCCTTCATGTTTACCATTGAAAACTTTGCCACATATCCCAAAAAATATTTAGAAATCTGAGTTTTATGACTCCTCTTGGCTCCCCACAAATCCTCCAACGCACATACGCAGAAATAACAGACTCTGACTTCAGTCACCCTGAATACGTATGAGCTCATTCTAAATTCAGCCCACAATCTCCTCTGTACAGGCCCTTCCATCCTGGTCCATGTGATCTCCATCCATCCGCTTCGCCTCACAAACATTCCTTGCAAGGTGCAATGTCTGAATAATTCATGTCGGATACTCTCTTCGCTGTCACATTGTGATCTCAGCTCATTTCAATTATGGTAGCACAATGTCAGAGGGAATCTGACAAAGAATGACATGCAATTATCTGCGAGCACATTATTTGCTCCGAGTCTCAAGGATACTCGGCTCTTTGTCCTCTACATGTTTTTTCTCTGTCAGGGTTTTGTTTTTGCATTTGTTGTGTGTGTGTGTGTGTGTGTGTGTGCGTAACACGTGCGTGAGTTACCTGCTTCTCTAGAGTCAGCCACTGCCCCTGACCAACGACGGGTGATGTCTATGTAGAGGATGTCCACTGAAGCCATGGTGAAGTTACTGTTGCTCAGTTTGCAGGTCCTAAAGACAATCAGGAAGTCTTACATATCAATCTGAACGTTTAAATTTGCCTTTTTGCAGTGAAAAATAATGTCAGCATGTTTTTTTTTTTAAATGTATTGTACACAGTTTTTATTACTAAAACGAAAGAAAAGGTTGTCTCAGCCGGCTGCCGGCTCTGGTGATTGATTGTCAGCTGCTGGCAGGCTAAGACCCAGCAGGGGAACCGTCAGGAAAGTACAAGAAAATTGCACAGAAACCAACATAACATGCCTAGACAGCGTGTTGTTAGTGGTATTGAAGAGTAAGGACCACACTTGCATCTAAACGAACCTAAGTAATATTTATTATTATTATTATATGATCTATATGCTGTTAAATGTGCTGCAACTGAGCAGCTAATTAGCTATTAAGCCTGCAAATTGCTGTTAGCGGGGCACTTTTCCCTGGTGAATGTTTGTTTTGTGGCTCGTTCAACAGGTTAAGATGCAGGACAAGAAACGTGTTCATGTCTGTGAGTTAGATATAAAGGAGACTTTTTGCTCCAATACAGAGAAGATCTATATATGTTGCAACTGACCAAGAATGCAATTTAAAGTCAGTATGATTTTCATCTTTATTTGAAATACTGGGTCAATGAAAACAGCATGATTTTAAACATGTCTAAATCCAAATCAATGATAATTGGAAGCAGAATGAGACTTTCAGTTAATCAGCAGTCCAGCAGTCATGAAATAAAGTAATGAAAAGTGAAATGAATTCATTATTGTTCAGTCACTGCACATAAAAAGGATTCTGATAAACTTCAATTAGCCCAGCTTTATGAGAGTAGTCTGGTCAAACACATACATATCCCACTCAGTATGCAGATAAACAACAACAAATTAATCCTAGATATTAATTACAGGTATGTACAGGGCACATGTACAAGTTACCGAACACTATTGGAGAATCAAAAAGTGCATTTAATTTTAAGAAACAAATGCAGATGTACTCAAAGCAGACTACATGACTGACGTGTTTCTATCTGATGTCGTCCTAGTTTTTATGAATTCTATGGATAGTTTTCTGCTTAAATGTAGCTCTAATATTGTATATACTAGTCGTCATTTGTCTGTGTTTGGCACATCATTGATAGTTTTGTGTTGATATAGATCAGTAGATCAGTTATTTGGACTTTTTTGGACTTCTTTTGTGCAGGCCAGGAAGATCAGCAACTGCTTTGGCAGAAGCTGGTGGGGAGCCCATGAAATAAATAAATAAAACCGGTACCTGATGAAGGTTCGGAAGGCAGTGGGGCCCAGACGCATATTGCCCTTGACCCCGAGGAAGCGTATGAACAGAACTGCGATTCGCTCCACCAGCCGCAGGTAGTTGAACTGTTTGGTGTACTTGGGGTAGACTTGCTTCAGACACAGCGAGGGCAGGGCCTCATCCTGGCTCCTCTCTTGTGTCTCCGCCTCCATGGGAATCTCCTCCCCATGTTCAAACCCACCGCCTCTTGGATGGGAACTATGGCCACGAAATGATCGGACAGAAACAAAAACAACAGATTATTATACATTTTACCAGCTGGCATTTCAATAGCAGTCATTTATTTTTTAAATGTATTAGTAAGCTGACCAAGCATTTAACCTACAGCTCTGGACATTTAAAGACTACAAAAGTCTCTACCTTTACTGCTGTTTGTGCTATCCAGCATTGGGACTGAGTAATGGCCTTCAAGCCCTACAGGACTGAAGCACAAGACCATAAGGTCAACCTGGAGAGCTTTTGTCAGCTGAGTAACAGACAGCCAACCACCTGAGGTAGATCAATGCACCAAGCTTTTCACCTGAGTCTGCACTTACAGTCTGGCTTGGCAGGGGGAAACAGGAAAGAGTAATGTTGTATGAAGGATAAATAACTCTCTTTTTACTTGCTCATCTCACTGCCTCCGTACTGTCTTTTTACTGTCTGTGCTTACATCAACAACATTTAACTGCATCAGTAGCAAGACGCACCTACCTGCTACAGGTTTTGCATTCAGACTTTCAAAATCAGTTTTGAATTCTTATGAAGAGTTGATACATGTCACCAAGTGTGGTTACTTAAGTAAAACAAATCCCACAAAGGAAGTGCAGTGACTCATAAAAACTAAATATATACCCAGGTGATGCCTCCTGGAAATCCACAGAGGATCTGTGCAGTTGTATTGTTCTGTATAGAACATAGTCAATGAAAGTCTGGTTTGGACAAAGACCCATATTGCCAGTTCCATAGCAACTGTTGATGGTTATTGACATTTTGCTTGGTGCTTTGAATGCCGATGAGGCAGACATATAAAAGCACTCTGTCAGTTACTCAAGCTGGCCAAAACAAGTCCATCGACAATGGCTTCGGCCTGTCACTCTCCCGTGGCATCAAAGTGGTCAAGAAAGCAGTTCCATGTAAATAAGCACGTACAAATTTGTTCCAAAAATATTCAAAGAAAGGCTTTAGTCTGGAATGCTACACACACACAGTGTTGATGAGAAAGTTCAAAGTAAACAAAACTTGTTTTTTGGGGGTTGTTGCGGTTGCCTGTTACCATCGATATTCCACAGGGCACCTCTGAGCATCGCAAGTCTTAAGGGACTTTCTTTTTAGTCCTGCTTAGACTCAGTGCTTCTAACCAAAAGGCATTGTGTCTATCATCAAGGCCTAAAAAAAAAAACACATTTTCTTCCTCCTAAAATATTTCTCATTATTTACGTCCACGTTTGCTAGTTTGCAGACTTTTTCTGGCATATCTCTATGTTTCTTGGCGTTTCTGTCAAGGAGTAGAATAGTGCAAAACCATCACCAGCATGTTTATGTGCGTGTGTGCTTGACTGTTGTCTCCCTCCCTCTCCTATTAGCCATGCCGCACCTGTTACTGTGCGCCAGTACCAATTCCACCTTCGTCATTCTCATTAGTTCACCGAGTCCAGTGACCTCAAATAACTATCACAGCAACCTGAGCCGAGGTCGCTTCAGCACGAATAAGTGAAAACACATGCGTGGGTGTGCAGGGCATTTAAGGACAACTCTTACGGTCAGCGCTTGCCCGTGCAAACACGCGGGCAACGAGAAAGACACAAAGGCACATTCAAGGGGATACAGTACGGCTGACTTTTATGAGACCATCTCTTTCTCTATGAATTAGTAAGCAGTGTGAATGGCACTGAGAGAGCACTGCTGAATGTTTAATAGAATCAATCACCCCTCAGCAGCCAGAGGGACACCACCCACATCTGTTTAGACAGGAAAGGCTCGGCTAAAAAACCAACACAACTTCAACAGAAGCTGTCAGCCAGACAGACAGTGAAGGGGATGTCTCCAAACATTCCCAGCAGACGGACGGAAGAAAGTGATGGAGGTGAAGCGAGAGGGTAAAAGGTAAAGGATGGCAGGTTATTAAAAAGACATACCGAGGCCCAGTGCCAAATGTTAGTTGAGTGTATGCAAGGAGGACGAGGCCTAATTCAGCTGTCATTACCCAGCATAAATGCTATTTCTGGCCTTCTGGTGAATAAATTTTCTAAGCTTTTGCACACTGTCAAAAGTATTTAAAGCTGCCAGATGTGTCAATGAAAAGAACTCAAAAGTGTCTGCACACTTTTTTTCATTTCAGAAATCTGAATTTATTGCCTGAGCTTTTCTCAGAGCATGAGTCATACCAAAACACACACACACACAGGAAATAGTCTCCCACAGATAATAAACATTTTGTGTGTATAAATGATTTAACTCCCCTGCCTTTTTTTCACTTGTTTCTATCCACACAACCACAAGAATCAGAAAACTTAAAGCTGCTAAAATCAATATTTTATTAATAACAACGTATCACATGCCAATGTGAAAAGGGTTCATAGCAATGAACATACAGAAAGTTATCACCCAAAGCTCCCCTTGGCTTTACAGAGCTGTATGTACAGTTTCAGCTCTTTACTGCAATTTTACTTTTGTTCACTATCACCTCTCTCGTAGTGCTATTTTCGGAAGCAGCAGGCAAATGTTTTCAGAAAAAGAAAAAAAAACTGAGCACACGACCTTCTTAGCACAGCAGAAAGCCACAGTTAGCCACTAGCTGGTCAACATAGCAAATAGTAATATTTGCCAATAAAGAGACAGATATTTTCCTCAGGAGTTGGTCGCTGCCCTCAAGTGGCAAAAAAATAATCTGTTATTGCAGGTTTAAAATGGGGGTTATAAGCATGTTAATCAAATCTTCCACAGGAACACAATGAGAAAAGGTATTCACTTTAAAAAACACTGCATTTTGGAATCATGGTTCAATCATAGTTGATTTGGACTGCACTCAAACCCACCTCAGAAGTGGCACATGTTATTTCTTTTTATGCAGATGATGCTTTTGCAATCATGTCCCTTGCACCCTATTTTAAGGTATGCGCTCCATGAATTTCAGCTTTTTGTTCTCACCCACACTCACACCTCTCATAATGGCTCATAAATCACCCTGAGAGACATTATACACCAGAATAATGAGCTGGCTGCGAGAAGTACATGTCTGAGAGTCACTGATACCATCGCACTCTCCTCTTCATAATTCCCCATTTATCTCTTCCTCTTTTTCTTTTCTCCAAAAAGCCACTAATCCGCCCCCTACCCCGCCGCCCCCCGCCCTTGTGCCATTTTATATTTACTAATCTTTCTTATATAAGGGCTCACTCTGTCTCCTTTTAGCAACACCATTTCTAACTCAGCTGTACCTTTATATTGTGTGCCTGGTCAGTTCTCGCACCCCTTTCACTTCATCTTGACGAGTCAAATTCGTACGGGGGTGACTTCAGTCTAAACTCTGCGCTCTGAATGACTGGATCCCATCCATCCCACTGCTGAACAGCTGTCAGCAACCACAACACAAGTATATTCTTGCTGGTAGGCCATCTGTGCAGTAAACAAATTACTTAACCTCCCGTAACAATGTTGCGGACATTTTGTTCATGCTGCCAAAAACTGCTTGTAAGTGATAAGTTTGCAGAAGAAAAATTAAATCAGCTGAACAACTGAGAACAAATGTTACCCAATTCTTGTCTCCCTTGCTTATTTCCTGTAATCAGCCCAATAGAGTTTGTTTCTTTCTCAGTTTTTGGAACAGCTTGCATTAATTGTGTTAGTTTTATTCATTTATGTATTTACTGTTATGTTTTTATATTTATTTATTTTACATTCTGCAGTTAGGAGGATCTTGGATAGTGTTGTTCCCTGCTTCCTCCTTCTTTCTTTCCAAACTGGGGACATGTTGACCACCATCTACTGTCGGTGATACACTGACTATGGATAAGTACCCCATACAACCCCACTTCAAAATACCTGAACTATCCCTTCAAGATTATACATAAAGGATCATATAATAACCTTATAAAGTTCAATATATTCTCAAAGATTAAAGCAGTGGTTCCAATATTTTTGGCTTGTGGCCCCTTATGAGGCCCCTTGTCACATTTCAGATGTCTAGAGGGGAAATGTCTCTTTGGTGGAACTGAAAAACTCATAAACTTCTCAGATTGTTTCATTTGAATAACTGTTCAAACCCCAGAGGTAAAATATCCAATACCTCACAAATAAAAACAAAGATTAGAGAAAAGTTCGGAGGAAAAAAAAAAGACTTGAGTAACTTTGTTTTTTCTTCTTTCCTACCTCATTAACATACATACATACATACATACATACATTTGCTGATGATACTTTAGTACTTTTAATTACATAAAACTTTGAATGTAGGAGTATTTTTTACTCTGTGGTACTGGTACTTTTACTTAAGTAAAGAATCTGTGTGCTTCCACCACTGGCTAGTGGCACATCCTCACACACAAATGGCTTAATTTAAAATGGATAAAATTCAATGTAGCAAAAGCCTGTGTTTTCCATCAGACAGCCAACACGTGTGTACGATGCATCTGCTATTGTGCCTGTGTCAACACGTAAAAAACACACTGTGGAACTGAATGATTAATGAGTTCCTATTTTCCACCCACATCGTTGGCTGCAGTGATGATTACATTTTTCGGAGCATATCCAATCTAATGGCTAATTTAATAAATATTAGCACTAGCTAGTTGGGACATAATTAGCATATCTACCCCCTAAACCGCAAAAATCACTCTCTATCTGCAAAGCTGACACACTTCCCTGCAACCACAACCTGACATGAATAATAAATCTTTGTGTTTGGGAAGCAAACATTTTCAATCGTGCTAAACAACAGCAGAATTATTACTGCGGCTTGATTTTATCATGTATATAGATGGCATATAGAAATATTTTGGCCTTAGGTTTTACAATATTACTGTCCTAATTTGTGATAAGAAATGTACTGTAGACTGTTGAAGGCTAAAAGCCAGTGATTTAGTTTCACCTTTCATCTGGGTCCACTTTGTATCTCCTAATCACTGATTAGCAACATTTTTATTACTGTTAATCAATAATCATTTAATAGCTGAGGACTGATTTATCATCAGCATCCCAAATCCCTAATCACACCTCATACACCTGCACCCTATTACCTTAGGCTGCTGGTACTTGCACTAATGTCATTACTGTCATTTAGTAATATTTGTTGTCATTACTGCTCTCTAATAATATAACTGCTGAAATAGGTGTTTTATCTCTCCATTAAGTTTATAACTTTATTAACACTTCCACCCTGTTTAGTGCCATGGTATATTCCTGCAAATGTAAAGATACATGAGACTACACGAAAATACTGTTTAGTGTCTATAACTTCTCTCACATCATAAACCCCGTCCTTGTCAGTGTCACTGTTTCTTCTACAGCCCACTAGCTCAGCTGTTTTACACTTTTATAGACCCTGAATTATATCGTATTAAAGATCACTGAACTTGTTTCCTCCGTAATGCACCTTGTTCCAGTCTGGACTTCTGCCTCTTTTCACCACATGACTGCAAACTGTAAATACTCTCTCACAGAGATATTTTATAAAGATATTCTTCCACTACTTAATTGGCTTTAGGAGGCTTAAAATGTGGAGATTGAGTGTCTGTGTGTGTCTAGAATAGAACAGGGAAATACATGGTGGTATGTACACAGTTAAATGAGACTGATGATTTGAAATAATTGACAAATCACTGTATATAAGGTCAACTTTTTATCTGTTATGTTAGAACTAAAAAGCTAATGAACTAAAAGATACATTTTGACAAAACAACAAATATTATTTTATAAAAGTAAGTTGCAACAAATTGTCACTTTCATAGCTACTATAACAATAGTGGATTTTGGCTGACACCAATATAGATATTTGTAAAAAAAAGTAATAATGACATATCAGTCTTTTTTTCTATATAAATAACATAACAGAAAAAAAATTCCAAGATCTGACACTATTTCTGAATTATAACATACCCCTAACATATCTTTTGTTTCTGTTATGGGTCTTTTTGTTATTTATCAGTACCCATATAAACTGATGTGAGACTGACATCCTCAAAATTCCTTATGTTGTCTAAACAACATCCAAAACCCAAAGATAATAAATGTATTATCACCTAAGACGAAGAAGGGCAAATTGAGGTGGTTGGACTAGAGAATGTTTGACATTTCGACTACTTGAGTAATTGTTCAAGCTCAATAATTGTATGAAATAAATGTATAAAGATATAAAGGTTTTGAGTAACTCCCACTAACACGGGGCCTGAGATCTAAGTCAACATGAAACAGGACATTCGTGTAAGGGACATTCGATTAAAGGATTAGGGGTCTCTAAAGTACAGTAGACAGGTCAAAACGAACAGAATGCTAAATGTGTCTACTACACTGTGCTGTAGTGTAATTCATCCACTGACAAGTACAAAATGTGGTTCTGCAGATTCCAGCAATGCAGGAGGAATGAGGATTAAAAATATTATAGGCGCATTATATCAATATGGCACTGGTCATGATTATAATAGTTAAGTGGGTATTATCCCCAAGAAGATATCCCTCTCAGTTGCAGAACTAAGCAGATCAAATATCTGATATAGGAGATAATCTCGGGAGAAGGCAAGAAAGAAGTGAGGGGAGGAGTGAGAAAGAGGGAGTAACAGAGAGAAAGGGGAATAGAGGCAAGAAATGGAGATGGTGGTAGAATAGGAACAGTAAATCTTCTTGTCATAGAAGAAAAACATATTGAGAGGCGGGGAAAAAACCCAAACCCTAATGGTAGAGGAGATTTATTGCCAGGCACAACACAGGGCCAGTCAGCCAGAGAGACTGAGCCACCAGTCTTGTACAGCACGAATGTGTGAATTTCAACTGCGGCTCAACTGAATTTAATTTTTCCATTTAACAGGCTTATGGGGAGCTGTTGAGTGGTGCAGAGCAGGGCTCCGAGGAGGGAAGGGCAGAGTAAGATATCCTGCCCTTAAAAATTGACTCTTAAGACCAGCAGATAAAGAGCGGGGAAGTAAGAACTACAACTTCAAACTGTGTGTTCGCTGTGCTTGTGTGTGTGTGTGTGTAAATGTGTGTGTTTACATTGAAGGTTTCTTGTTGCCAGGATCCATAAGGCGCAGAGTGTCCCTGATCACACTCACTTTGACCTCTTCGTCAACAGGACTAGGAACGTATTCAAAAACTCCTGGTGCCACCTGAAACAAAACACAGACATTTATTACATGAGAGTGCATAATAATGCTAATATGATGGCAAAACTGATGCTGAGCGTCACTCTTACTTCCTGTTCATGTTCTATTCTCATACTGGGGTTAGAGTTGACCTCCAGTAATACTGGCTTCAGGTTCTTCATCAGCAGGATGTCAAAACCTAATATCTGAGACACAAACATATCCTTAATTACATACTATTTTAGAATAAAGTAGACTGTAAACTAGTGGTGTACCAAAAACCTCCTATCTATATCTAAAATGTTATTTATTTGTATTGGATTCAACCAGAAGTTATTGGTTTAGCTGCCAACAAAATAGCAATATTTTAACCATGTACAGTACCTGAATGAATCAAACAATAAATTATTATTTGCATTTAATCTTTACCTCTGTGAAGAATACTCCTAAGACCCCCCACTACCCACCTGGAAGCAAGTGGGTCCTGGTTTGCCAGGCGGTATATCAGCCTGATAGTAAACTTTAAGTTCTGGCACCACAGCGATGACAGTCTTGATGACAAGAGCGATGATGTCCGACCACACCTTCTTGATGTCTACGCCTTTAGCTGCCAGCCTGTACAGCACGCTGGAGAGAGTGCGCTTGCTGCCTGTGCTCTGGCTGTCTGAGTGCACAAAGTTACCGCTGTGGACGTTGAGGGAGTAGTTCGTCAGGTGCATGAAGACATGGCTTAGGTTCTTCTGGCTTGGTTCCTACACAATCACAGTAAGAGTGACCTTAATTATCTGTATATAAAGTGTAAGTACATGTTTCATGGCACCAAAGAAAATTAAAGGCTTAACAGTAAACCTGCTGGCATCATTAGCGCCATTACTACCTGGTAGGGCTCGGTGCAAAAGCGTGTCAGGCCTTCCTTGGCAATGTAGATCTCCAATGGCTCCATGGACTTTATCAGCACGTAGAGGCGGATATCGAACTTGAGCTTGTCGATGAGTAACGGCTTATGGATGTACTCCTGGACTACAGCCTGTTTGGCCTGTGAACCCGGCATGAGCTTTAGGTCACTAGGGTCACGGATGAGGTAGATGCCGTCCCCCTGAGAGCCCCCATCTGGCTTCACAATGAAAGTGGGATTCAGTGTGGCATCGTTCTCCTTCACCATGCGAATCTACAGCAGAGAAAGGACCAAAGACCATTATTAGTAACACTTGATTCACACAGGTTTCATACATTCATTTAATGATCATCTTCCGTCTTCTTCTTACAAATAAATCAGTTAATGAAGTTAGTTGCATGGCTATAACTGAACTCCTACTTAGATTAAGAAATAAAGTCAATTAAGACTTTCTTTATAATTCATTTTTATGTTGTCGTTTTGTTATAGTTTACAGTAGAAACAAGTTGCCAAGAAAGAAGAACAACTTTCTGAAGGAAAAATTAACCCAAGAAATCATGGACATTAATGAAGTGTGGCTACCATTACGAACCCTTAAAGAGTCCATTACTGGGCAATAGTGTTAAATAAATACCCTTATTTATCATCTCTATCTTGAAGGTAAATAAAATATACATCTTTAAATTAGTCTGTTTAGTCAAGTGTTTTTTATGGTCTTCAGAGTTCCTCAGAAATGTTATCATCATACAGCATATATTATATATGCAGTAAGTCAAAGGCCAGTCCTATACGGTGTAATGCCTAAGCCTTGAAGTTGTAACATACAGACCATTTTGAACAAAAGCCTAAGATTTGTGTAAAACTCTTTCTAGAGGGAAGAACTTCTCTAAATCTGCTCTAAACTCAACTAAACTGGAATTATAATAGTGATATTCTGGTGCCCCCTGCTGGACATAATATATGGTTGCTAAACATGATTTCCTTCGAACAGAACTACAGGCCATCTGTCCATGCTATTACAGTATATCACCAATTCAGATAAAAACTGAAATCCCCATGCTAATAGTACTGCTGTTAACAGGAAGCGGCTGCCAAAAACTGTTTGCTGTGGTGGAGACAGTACATTTCTGTAATTATATATGATTACAAATCTGAATGTTGCAGAGTAAGTACATGCCACACTGACTAATACAAATCTGTAGCTTCTTTCCAAAATGGCATGGAGGAAGAACATTGATAACAAAATACATTATAACAGTTCTTTCCTTCTCATCAGTGTTACTCCTAAATTGATAAACACAAACACACAAATCTAGGTAAATGCTTTTAGTGTCAGTACATTTATGGCTGGTTTTCGGTGAACGTCACACTTGTGAACGTAACTGGTTGTGACATGCTTGAACATTGTAGTCCACTAGGGAAAAGCAGCTGATGGATTGCTCATTCTTCCAGTATTGTTTTCATAACTCTGTCTCTCTACACTTATCTACACTTGCTAAATACTGTATTGCCTTTACAAGACAATCCTTCTGGATTCAACCATGTGGTAAGGGGTGTCAGATGACCATAAAGGGTAAAATTCATAAATGTGTTACACTCTGTCTTTTCCCTCGAGGAAATTGAGCAGTGAAGCAAGCGCGTGACAAGAATTAAACAGTCATATTATGAAGAAGAGAGCACTGCTGTTGCAATGTAGTATGGTAAGCAGCTATAATGGTGGACAGAGACAAGAGCACTGGCAGTGTGAAGACATCTGTATACTGGTAGTTTCTTGCTGAAATATGAACAACTTTTGCCAAATTCAGAAGAAGCAAGGCAAGAAGAAACACTGTGACTTTACTTTATCAGAGCTTTCTGGCCCCTCTCTTTCCAGACGTCGAGTCGCTCAAGTATACTTTTATTTATAAAGCCCTTCTGGGAATTTATCAAAGCAATCTTTATCTCCGATCACAAGATATAATCTGCTGTCTGTCCCAGCTATAAGAGAAGAGATGGGAAAGGATGCCTTAATGTTTTCAGCTCCGGCCACTTTTCTTTTGCAGAATAGTCTGCAAAAGAAAAAGCCCTCTTAGTATTTAATTATGCTTTACTGCTGTTTAATCTGTTGCATGGTTTTTTTATTTTTTTGTCTGCATTTTGGCCAGGATTCTCTTGTAAAAGAAATTTCCAACATCAGTTTACAAGCTTAAATAAATCTTAAAACCCTTCATAAAATAGTTTGCACGTCTAATCTTTTCTCATCTTGTTGAACAAGACTTCTACTTCAACATACAGTATCAATTTTTCACTGGAAAGAAGTACAACCTCAATCCAAAGAACATCTCCATGTATCACACCCGACGTTTTTGTTATGACATTATGCACCCATACCTGTGTGGAAAACTGCTGGTACTCCTCGGGCAGGATCCAGGAACGGGGATAGAAGTCGTACTCTTCTGGAAACAACTCCTGCATGGTGCGCACTGCCCGACTCATGTTGATCTTCCTCAGCATTTCAATCATTCCTGCAATGCACAAAGCGCTGTGTCAGAGGTACAATGAATGCAGAAGACTCTGACATGTAACATATAAAAAAAATGCACTTTAACAGCAGTCTTTAAAGGAAATACAAAACAAAAAATACAATCTATAGAAGGATTGTCCATGTTGAAAAGGCAAACAGACAGGACATAACACAGGTATCATAGTGTAAGATAAATGCCAGCCAGAAGACTCCAGTGATGTAAATTTGGATGTACATTTTTCAGCAATACAATAATCTCTAGAGTCTCTAAAGTAATGATTATTGTCATGGCATGAAAAGGTCAGCATTGGAGCAATAAGGATCAGCGAGGCTTTAACTAAATCCCTTCTGTGGTGATTACAGAATAGTGAGTAGAAATGAACTAGTGAGCTGAAATAAAGCCATCACTCCACTTACAGGTAGTGCAGTAGCATTGAGTGCAGGGTGCTTTACATAGAAGAACAGAAGGTTACAGCAGAGGAGAGAGGCAGAAGCGGTGAATTACCTGGGAACTTGTTCACCTGCCCTGAGACTATATTTTCATTGTCATGGAAGGAAACGCCATGCCAGTAGATATCACAGGCTGCCCGTCTTCCCAGAGGAAACTGAAAAAAGAGGAGAGAGAACAGCACACAAAAAATAAAAAGAACATTAATTAGCTTAATCTGTTAGTATGATTCAGGACATTGGTAAGGTGTTTGTCCTTCTGGTAATCCCAGTGCAGGGATAATCTTGCCTAAAGATGGGAGGCAGTGCGTGTTCTGTAGTGATGAACTGAGAAAAGAAGAGAGGAAGTGATACTATAAAAGGATTTAGAGAGCCAGGAAATCGTACTGGCAGAAAGCACCGTTTTTGTCTTCTATACCTCGACTCCTTCCCACACTTACACACTGCAAACTACATATTATGCGCCAAATGTGTTGTTACAATGAAGTCAAAAGAACAGGATATTACAATCATAGTGTGATGTACAGAACACAAACTAAACTCCACTCCATGAAAACATTCAGCTTTTCAACTTCAAGCAGCGTTTGGACTCCTGACAGTGCATAAACATCTATTAAGACAGCTTCCGATAATAAATAATGTCTCCCACACGCTGCTGCGTTTCACTTCTCTGCATCAAAGCACAATCTGCTTTTCAGTAACTGGGAAACTGGACAGATTTAATCAGCTGCTGAGGTCTGTTACTAGATGTTTTTTACCTGTGCGGGGAGGCCTTCTCTTTATCGTTTAAATGATCTGCGGACACTATAGCCTGGTGAAACATTTCTGAATAATTTATTTTAAAGATGCACTTCCTGACCTCCACCTAGCTCGTGGTTAATATAACTCAACGTGACACAGCTTTGTGTCACACCCGAGTTTCAAAACATCAGCACTGAGCCCGTCATGGAGTCTATCTTTAACTGTATTACATCAGGACTCAATATCAGGCCGCGTTGGAAGGTCAGCAGGATATTGTCACCACTCTTAAATTCTACTCTCATGTGACTCACCTCACTGCCCAGCTTCAGGATATATCTCAGAGTTGCATCTCATTAATAAGTTAGCATGTGAGCGTGTGAAACAGGGAAACCCTGCTCGACAGCCAGGAGCTGCTATAAATACTGCCACACAAATGCCAGCGTATAACCGCTTAACTGCATCAGGGAAGGAGATCAAATTAATTTGAGCAGTTTCTAGAGCCCAAAATAGCCATCTTGTGTATGTATGGAGAGACAGACACTTACAACCCATTGTTGGGGACTTCATCATGTGTGGGCTAACTTCGGTTTCTGAGCCACTTTGTAAAATGAAAATACTTATACTGAAGCCCAGCTAGTAAACAGTATTTATAATTTGAGTTATACATGTTATTATTTCCATGATACAACTACAAGGTTCCGCCTCTAGGTGGCAGGGATTTTAAAATGAATGTGGTTTAATTCAACATGTCAGCTTAGTCTGTAGGATTCTAATCAAAATACCAACCCTGTGATTAAATGCACGGTTATTAGTCTCATTTTCTGGAATTGTCACTCAGACCCTCAGGCCTGCCATTCTCTCTCTACCTCAAAGAGGACTAACACTCTATTGGATTAGAGGAGCTTAAGGATAATCATTTCCCACTGTTTAAGAGAATGCCATATGCTGAAAGTCAGTTGACAGCTGTCTCTGGGGCCAGAAAATACTGCAGATGTAGGGACGTAGTAATTTGGGTGTAAACGGACCTTAAAACCAACTCATCAGTCAATGAAACGTCCTCATAAACCACCTAAAACTGTATCCGGTATCCTGTGTTTTAATCCTACTTGCTGCTACGTGTTACTTGATAAATTTTCACCAATCAATGTTCATTTCATAATTGACAAATAGAACAAGGCTACTAGAGTTTCAGCTCCTTCGACGACGCTGACAGGTACTTTCAAAATGTCGCAGGATCTAGAACGCCCTTGACTTTGTTGGGGGTTGACCACGAGGACAAAGCGTGGTAATGTATAGGCCTGGAGTCTACCGTTTCCGATACCAGACCTGGTAGGGTTTAAGTGTCACTGCGTGGTCAGCGTTGATAAGTAGAGTCTTTACTTCACCTGTCTCACCGCATTGGCCTTCTTTACTCCTCATGCATAATGGAGACTATGTTAATAATGGCTGATAGCAGGTATTAATTGCATCACATTCAAACTGACCAGATGGCGTTTGTGGCTCGGAGGAATAAGAAGTGGATCAATTAGCCCTCTCATGAATAAAAGTAGTCGCTATTCATTTAGAACAACTCTGATACACATCAAACCTCTGTAATTGTACCCATGCAAAGTGACATTGTCAGGTTGTGGCGGAGTTACAGGTGATCTTGTCATCTACTTAATAATGTGCCAGGTTTTCAATCAGTGACTTCTTCACAGTTTGATAGGCGTACTGAAAACAAAGAAAACCTTTCTACTGCACAAGAGGTAATATCATGAAATGTTTTGTGAGACCCAAAAAGATTAAACTTAAATTAAACTATAAACGCAATAATGCAATAATAAACTATGCAATGCTTGAAAAATGGCCGATTATAAAACGTTCCCCTTTAATTATTTGTCTGTTTAATAATTAACTAATCGCTGCAGTTCTACTATAAATATGTAGTCATGCAAAACATTATAGGCAGTACTTAAGGGAGGTGAAATTACTCCGTTTACAATTTACTTAATAATACCAATTCAGAAAATGTTTAATCCAAATACAGTATTAAAACAAATTACATCTCTATTAACAGGAATACTTTGTGTGCTAATGATTAGCTTGACTTTTAGCTTGCCACATGATCAGCCCATAACAAACTCCCCCGCTCCGAGGGTCCTCACAGAAATGATATAGACAGGAAAGTGACCACACTGATCCATTTCCATATAAATGATCATTTAATGCTTAATGACAGTTGTCCATACCACTTCAATGGAAGGACTGATTAATCAACATATTGTGCTCAGAGAAACAATCCCACATGTATTTGGGAATCCAGTCCCTTACCTTATCACTATTAGATCTCCTGTCTATTTTCTGCCAGATCAGTAATATAATATAAATTAAATGGTCATCTAACGGCTGAGGTTCTGCAGCTTTAAATATGCAGTGTTTTGTTTTTATAACCTGTTTGCATGGTTTAGATTATTGTGTTAACATTAGCCTAAACATAGTGTCTCCACGAGTGCAAATTTTGCGTTTAAAAGTTAACAAAAACACGAGACGAGCAGACTTAAATCTCATTTCCTATTTCTGAAAATACAGCTTTGCGATTCCCATTTTGGCCTCTCATAATTCACCATTTGAGATCTTGAATAACAAAGACAAGAAGCACAAAGGCAAACTATTACATAATCCAGTCTAAAGCCCTATTCAGACACATCTTCCAGGTGGAGGCCGGCTGATGGAATTATTAATAGATTGATTTTAATCCTGTCTTAATTGTCCATTACAGTCATGTTTAATGGCTTCTCCGCCATTTACTGACTGTTAAATGCCCAGTAACCTGAGATAGGAACAGTTATCTCCGGTTACAGTACTTCTGCGTCGATTCATAACCTCGAACACTGCAGTTCGTTTGCACTGATGGCCTTTACTTCTAGTCCTTTCTATGCAGAGAGACACTGCAGGCTGACCTCTCCGACCCAAACCCGGTTCATCACACTGGCCTGTGTCAACTTGAAGAGGAAAGCTAAAAAAAAAAACGAATCAGTCAAAAAGAAAACACTTTAGTGAAGCCCAATAATGTCTACAGCAGTCAGTGGCCCACATACGTACATGAAGCTTATGCTCATATCAAAAAAAAAAAAAAGATTGTGCCATCACGAGCCATCACACGTGGGTTTTAGTTCCCCCTGAATGACTAAAGTCACTGTGTTCAACTCAACAAAAAGGCTACAGACATTAAAACAAACAGTAAGACAGAGGTTCTACACACACACACACACACACACACACACTTGTGGCCAATGCCTAATCCCAATGAAACACTGGAGCACTAAGCAGCTGCTGCCACGGATCCTCTCTGGATCAAGCTGTGCACTGCTGCTCAGATCCCCTGCTGCTTCATGTGAATACAAACGTGTGTTGATAGCATTTCTATAAGACAAACAGCAAAACAACAACAACAACAACAACAACAACAACAACAACAAAAACCTCATGTAGCACACCTCTTTCCACTTCAGCTGCTTGATGCTTAACTTCAGTGCCTCCAACGAGGTTTTGGCTTTTGCGGTATCCACCGTCACTGGTCTTCTCTTCCTCGCAAGTTTGAATCCGTCCTCGTGGCGTGCTTCTTGAATGTTTTTGGATGAATGGATGGTCACACAGTTCCCGTTATTCTCCGACTTGCCCTGCAGGATCTTCCCAGTCCCTTTGATGTGCAGCGTCCGCTCATGCCCCGGTCTGTTCAAGTTCCTCCCGACATGGGGAGAAATCACAGAGCCGTGCAAGGACAGATCCGGGACGTGTTTGCCACAGGAGTTCTTGTCATCTTTCCCCACCTTACTGCGACCTTTACCCCTCTGTTTACCAGTGATGGAGGTGTTGGACGCATCTCGGCCAGTTGTGGTGAGGCTGGAAGGGTCCGGTGAGACGGAAGCCGGGGGAGAGGACACTGCAAGCTGCTCCTCGGCGTCCACACCCTCCTTCTCTGCATCCTCGCCAAACGACTTCATTTGCTCGAGTTGAACCTTAACTTTTACATAATGATCACTCATTATGCGGAAGGCTACACGACACGCTGCCGGGCAGGGCACAGTTGTACCACAGGGTGCAATAATCCGACGCCGGCGAGCTAACGTTATTCTGAATCAGTGTAGTACGCATTGCTATCACAAAATGGCTAATTAAATAGCAAAAAAGCCATCGTGCGTCTGTCAGGTTACTTCGCGAAAACAGACCGCAGAGATGTAACGTTAACTCACAGGCTTCTTCCGAAGGCTAGCGGCTCTCACAGGCTGTCATCGTGGAAACACACAGCCTTACCACTGCTAGCAGCTAGTGGCAGCACTCGCAGCCAACACTGGAGCTAATTAGCTCCTTGAAGATGGCTAAACCTGACGTTAGCCTGTCAAACTTCATTTAACAGCTAACAAATATGCTCCTGTGCCGACTCTCCTAACTCATGGCAGGCGTTACCTCCCGGGTATCGTTATCTTTCCTCTAGCAGTGGCCGGCGTTGTACTGCTCTGTGTACAGTCCCTGTGTTATTAAGCAGCAGTAGCTCAGCAACAGCAGAAGGCAGAGCAGCCCGTCGCCCAGCCTCCATCTGGTTTGAACCCAGCTGATGCTGCCTTTTGAGCTCCTCGTAACCTCCGACTTTCGGGAGTCACACCTCCGCGATTCATCGAGTATTAACTTAAAAAATAGAAACCGGCTTCTGGTGAGGGTTTATATGATGTAAATGTAAACCAGTGTTTTTGTTTTTGATTTTTGTACGCGTGTACGTGTGGGTTTTTTTTTGTTTTTTTTGTTGCTTTTATTGCATTAAACAAAAACTACAGCAGGGGGTGGTAGAAACTGAAATAATCACATAAATGACACACAAAGTCGACTACACTGATGTGTGTTTATCTGTTGGTTTAAAAAGCACATGACAGAACTGAAATCTTGTGAATCCCTAGGCTACTATTTACCATCTCAGTTGGTATCTGCTTAGAAGTACTATTTATTTCCGACAGCACCTGAAGGCAATAAGGGGATGTCATGTTTCAGCTTCCCCCTATTAGAGTAAAGAATAACGGGCTCAACCAAATAACCGCAATTCACCTTACTGAGAGATATATTTAGTTCTGTTCTGATGAAAACAAGTAATTCATATTAATTGGGTAAACCTATGTTTAATGTATTTTTGAACATCTATTCAATTTCACCAAAACATTGAATTACCAGTGTCTTCAACAGCCATTCTGGCACCTTAGCAAACCATACAACAGTTAAGTTAGAAAACAGTAGTTACAAAGTGTTTAACAGAAGAGAGGGACAATAACAAAAAGAAGAATATTATATTTTATTTAATTGACATAATGTTTGCAAACCATAATATATGAAGTTCAAACAGTCTGTAAATCTTACATCTATTAATGGTATGGAAACTATTAACCATAAAATTCATGCACCTGCAGAACAGCTGGAAACAGATGCTATATTTAGGGGCAGGTATCAGCCATGACCAGTCAAAGAGAGGTCAGAGATCACAATTATATAATGCAGATCAGCTTCTCTCAAGAGGGAAGCATTTTTTATCTACCTTCATCTATTTTAAGTTGATTTCACATGCAAAGGATTTGTAATATTTTTGTCACCATGTTGTGGATTAATGTTATGTTCTTCTGTTATTTTCCTGGGTGTAGTTTAAAGTATGTAAGTGCTATTTTCTGTATATGTGCACAATAATACATCCACTGCCAATACTGTGAATAAAATATTCAGGCAATTGCATGCTGACAAATCCTGTTGTGTGTGTGTGGGTGTGTGTGTGTGTGCATGTTTGTGGAATATTGAATCAGTTGAATAGAACAGAATCTTCCCTCTATATATGACATGAGAAAGGAATTGTTCTTGTAGAACAAACCAGACATTCTGCCGACATTTCCAGGTCACATTTCCACAAGTTGTCTTCAGGAAAGCACAGTTATTACTATCAAAGATGACTGCTCATAATTCCACACCATATGGAGTAAAAAGCTTGCTGGAGTGCATCTCCAGAGCAACACTCCTAGCACAGCCAGATGACATCCCACAATTTCTGTCCACACACGTGGAGGAAATGACACGTGTCAGGGACACAGAATCGAGAGATACCAAGGAGGTTGCCTTTCAGTATCAAGAGAAGTGGGGTAAGTCAGAGGGGTATTTTAATTTAGGCATCAATATGTAGACTGCTGTCCCAATCCAGCTC